TTACATCTTTTTGAGTATCAGAAAAAATTGAGCGTTTCGTCCTAACGTTCCATTCTGCTGATCTTGTCGCTCTATCTGTGACATATGGCAAAATCAAAGGTACTTTATTTAAATCATTTGCACCACGTGACTTTGTCCCTTTTGATCAAATTACTTCCCTTACCTTAAGATTGAAAATATAATTTATTATAGATTTGCGGAAAATCCAGTCCTTTTCCGTCATGTATCTAAAACTAATGTATCTTTAAAAAATTCCTTTGGCGGATATTTACAAAAATGCTGTGTAATTCTAAGGGAAAATGCTTAAAATTTGACTTTTTACGAAATTGGAAGGTTGAAATCATCATGTTTTAAAAAGAATTTGGCCGAAAACTTAAGAAAGCAGGTAAGTTAAAAGTTATTTAACTTTAAAATTCAACCTACAAGGTGTTTCCCTATATGCAAACAAATCATGAACAATATCTTCTTGCATGTGTATTTCTGTTTTGAATCTTGCTATTTTACGATTTTACGTCATTTTATTTTATCTTATATAGCAATTACACAATGGTTACGCTTCCGATTTTTAAACTAAAAAGGCCGAAAGATTTCGGGGGTAGACAATGTCGATTTGTACAGAAGCCTAAAAACATGTACAATTCATCATATGCGAACAAATTGTTCATTCGACATAGGTATTTGCATATTTACATTTTTATTAAAAGGGCTTATATAATCCTATTGTAATGGCTGCCGTCATGATAAGGCAAAATGGCCGCTATGCAAATTAGCAAATTACCCCAAATTTTGCCATATGAAGTGGCGACCACTATGTTTGATTTCGTCGTAGTAATGTCCAACAAAGGGTGTTGCTTTTTGATGAGGTTCAGATAAGACCACTGTTCCTTTTCACTAATATCTAAGTCAGACTTGGCGATACTTCTTCCTACTCGGAGTAGACGTTGATCGTTCACAGGCAGATTGAGATTGGCAATCGGTCCTTCTTTCGGAATAGATTTGTGAATGCGACTGATTTCCTCTCCATGAACTTCAGGTCTTGTTGATTTCGGAATGAAATTTTCTTTATCCATAGAATTTTCTATAGAAGTCACATATATTTTGCTTTTAGTGACACGAGTGCTGTCCCGTTAGGAAAATTCCTGAGTTTACCAGATTTGGTACTAGATCCAGTACACTCAAGGAAGTGTATGGAATGCGTTTTTGCAACCTTCACATCCGAATATATGTTTTGGCAGTTTTCTTCACCAACGATTAGATTTTCGTCTTTGACGGATATTTCCGGTCTTGAGGCGTAGATAATCTGTTCTGGTTTCGTGATTGAAACGTTAGTTATCTTTGTAAAATTGAGAATGGAAATGGGGAATGTGTCAAAGAAACAACAACCCGACCATAGAGCAGACAACAGCCGAAGGCCACCAATGGGTCTTCAATGCAGCGAGAAACTCCCGCACCCGGACCTCTGTAGGCCTCTTGTTGGGTTGTTGGCATTTGATGCCCTTATGCTATTGGCATGTTTAGCAGAGTCTGGTCCAAGCCATTTAATAAGTTGGTCTATCTGTTCCGAGTCTGAAACTTGTAATTCGTCTATGACGTTTTTAAAGCTGGCTTTCCATGTATGAAAGGATTCTGCCCGGTCGTTAAAGCTTGTTAGCCGAGAGAACAGGAGGTCCTTGCGTACGAGAAATCTGGTTATCTCCGACGTAGGATTGATTTGTTGATGGTGTGCAGAAGGGGTCTCTTCTATAACACCTTGTTTGTGGTGTGACATGGATCTTTGCTGAAACGCCCTGTTTTCCTATGCTAGTTACTGTTCCCTGATATGGGAATACATTAACTTCTGGTGACTTAGCATGTGTAGGTAAGACAGCAGGTGTCTTTGACGGCAAGTTCAATGCCACGGATGGTACGAACTCAGGTGCTTCATGACTTAGCTCTATCTTAATAGGAATTTGTTTTGTCTTTTGAGGTCCTGTTACTTCCGGTACAGCAGTTGGTACAGGATGTTTATTGAAGAAATCTTGCACATGCTGGAGAGGGTCTTCCGTTTCGTCAGGTAGATCGCTAAATGCTTGGCTGTCGTCGTATTCCAGAATACGAGACTCTGCTCCGCGGCTGCAGCTTCTCTCTGTGCTTCAAGAAGGTTCAAATTGGCCTTTAGTTCAGCCTTTTCCCGGCTTACACGCGCAGCCTCTTGTTCTAGTTGAGTTTTTCTGCATATGGCCTCTTGTTCTAGTTAAGCTTTCCTTTGTGCAGCCTCTTGTTCCATTTGAACTTTTTTATGTAAGGCTTCTTGTTCTTCTTGGATGGCTTGTTGGTCCATTTCGGCTTTAATTTCAGTTTGTCTGATTAGAGCCTGTTCCTCTAATAATGCCCCCTGTTTAATTATTAAGGCATGTTTTTCGGCAAAGGCTATTTTTGACTTAGCAGCCTCTGCTTTTGCACGCTTCCTCCGTGCCAGGCTAGACATATCGGAGACGTTGGAGCTTCCGCTATGCGAGGATTTCTTAGCCTTTAATGTTTTTGTTTTGGTGGATTTAGCCTTTGTCAGAGCGAGACGATGCTCGTGTAGGGTTTCCATAGCCAGGTCCACTTTAGACAGTCGAATTTCTGATGACTGATTACAAGTGTCTATGTTCTTAAGAATTTCCGGCGTTCTGGTCTTCTTCAAAAAGTGCAGGTACTCATCTATGCGCTTGCGATAATGAGTACAGGCTTGTAAGATTTTGTCCTCTGCCGTAAGCAGTTGTTGGAGCTCGTTTGGAGGAGTGGTCATTTCCAATAACTGGAATTCCAAACCTGACCTCTAGCTCATGACAGAACTTGTCACGCTTCTCTGCGAATGCTTCGTGTCATTTTTCGATGAGATCGCCTAGTCTCGGGATTTTCATCTAAATGTGTAGTATTAGATGGATTTTCTATTAGTTCTTCAGAAACATCTCCCTCTGGGGGCTGAACCTCGTCTTGCTGTTACGCGTGACTGGGATCCATGATGGCTGAACGTTGTTGGTTTGCTGCCTAGTACACACAAGTTGTGTTGTGCACTGTCAGTATAACAGTTAGTACGTTGCTACGTTGTCGTTCCCTGTCTGGATATGTAAAGACAGGTTGTCGTCAATTTACTGTACGTCGAGGGATGACGCGTTCTTGCAGCGCTCAACAGGCAGGTTGTGGCTGTAGAATTGTCGTGGAGTGGCGTTATCTGTGAGACACAACAGGCAAGTTGTAGACTTTTTACTGTAATGGCCTGAACATTAAGTTTAACCGACGATTGGGCTCAAGCAAGTAAGACTATCAGGTGCTGATACTTTATTCCTAAACCAATCTAACAAATGGTAAAAAGCTGAAAATACAAAATAAAAACAATTTTATAATGTGTTGAATTAATGTTATTATGTATAAATGTCAAATATAGACAATGGGCATTGCACAGTCCATAGAACGCGCAATAAGTCTGCAGTTATAAAGGAGAAGTTTCCAGTATATCACGGATAAAGAGTTGAAATATGTGAAAAACGATTTGAAGGCATCGAATACAAAGTTATAAATGTAACTCGCTCTGTGGTAAGCCACGAACTGTGTCCTAGATGACGTTTGTACTTCTCCAGTTCTGGAATGACCTTGCAATGTTCAATTCGAGATACGTGTCAGAAAGGGAAAGGTAGCGATGATACGATGTTTTAACGTTCTTACAAGTTCTTATAACGTTAAAAGATGAATAATCCTAGACTGGAACACATAAACAGATTAAGAATATAATCAAACGAACTATATAATTGAGGTACGGAGTAACAAAATAGATTTAGGAATAAAGTATCAGCACCTGATAGTCTTTCCTGCTTGAGCCCAATCGTCGGTTAAACTTAATGGTCAGGCCATTACATGGCGACGGGTGCCACATGTGGAACAGGATCTGCTTACCCTTCCGGAGCACCTGAGATCACCCCCAGTTTGTGGTGGGGTTCGTGTTGCTTAGTCTTTAGATTTCTATGTTGTGTCTTCTGTACTATTATTTGTCTGTTTGTCTTTTTATTTTTAGCCATGGCGTTGTCAGTTTATTTTCAATCTAAGAGTTTGACTGTCCCTCTGGTATCTTTCGTCCCTCTTTGTTATAAATTTCCATTGTTAACAAGATGGGACTGTCGCAAGAAGTGTGGAACACCTATAAACAGATAATAGCAAAAAACGAGAGTAAGATTTCAACACGATCCAAACCTTAACAGAAGAAGATGAGCCACGACTAAGAAGTATGAAAATCAGATGGAACTGTCAATCAATCTCAAATTGTTCAAGTTTGCTGAGTAAAACCGTAAAGAAGCAATATGAATATTGGGTTAACTAACATTAAAACAGGACAGGCTCCTAAAGGATTTGAATATAACAAATATATAATTTTCTGTAGAAACCATGCAAATGTACCCAAGGTCACCATGCAGACCAGTCAGCCTAACCAGTTTTATATTGAGTCCACAGGAGAAAACCAAGGATAAACTACATTCTACATCCAAGTGCAATGACTTCCCTTTTATATGAGAAAAAATCAACAAAAGGGGATTTACACTGACAATTGTAATAGATTTAGAAAAAAACAATTGATAATGAGATGATTGTAAGTACAATTGTGCTATCTAGATTTCAGTTGAAGGACAAAAGTTTGGTTCAGAGACCAAACGATAGAATGGAAAAGATATCTCTAATAGGAAAACACGTGTTGGTTTATTTACGTTGTCTTTTATTCTATTTTCATGACTTTTTGAATGAAAGAATGTTTTATAAATGATTAATACAAACGGAAATAATAATTTTTCCCAGCGATTTTATAAGTGTTCTAAGAGATGATGGTTTTATCTGTTTTCTTCGTCTTATAATTGTGTTATAATGTTCTTTGAATTTTTTTGGTTTTTACAGCCCTACGGCCTAGTGTTTCCTTATGTTGTTTAACTAAATCCGCAACCCCCCCCCCCCCCCCCCCCCCCCCCCCTCAAAATAAAATCTATGTTTCGCTAGATCTAAGTCTTAAAAAGCGTCTGGAGGATAACCTACGGACTAACGTTTTTGCTGTTCGCTTACATATGTTATTCGAGTTATCTGATACACTAACAAAAAATGCAAACAAATGTTTTCTTTATATAAATAATTGTCTTCTCTTTATCAGCCCTGGGCTACTTGAAGAAAGCAAAAAGAGGACAAGAAAGTGAAGAGATAGATAAAATGTCTCACAACAACAACACGGTTATCCCAATGATGGTCTCCCTTGATCAGAGTACAGGTCAGTCAATGCAAGAACCCGACAGATTTCATGTTGAAGGAAATAATAGTAATGCAAAGTTAGAGGACCAGATGAGAATACATTGTGGAGATATATCTTATAAAGGGATAAGAACATGTAATGTATTAAAGACACACTCAAGAATACAAATCGGACATGTTGAAGATAAACCTTACAAATGTGATGTCTGTGGTAAGGGGTTCGGTCACAACAATGCTTATCATATACATGTGAGATCACATACGGGTGATAAACCATATACATGTGATGTTTGTGGTAAAGATTTTAGCCACAACAGTTCTTACCAAAGACACATCAGAATACATTCTGGAGAAATACTTTATAAATGTGATGTATGTGGTAAAGGATTTAGACACTTCAGTTCCTTCCAAAGACATATTAGAATACATACCGGAGAAAGATCTTATCAATGTGATGTTTGTGGTAAAGGATTAGGACATTACAGCTCCTTTCAAAGACACATCAGAATACATACGGGAGAAATACCTTACAAATGTGATGTTTGTGGTAAAGGGTTTAGACACTTCAGTTCCTTTCAAAGACACATCAGAATACATACGGGAGAAAAACCTTATCAATGTGATGTTTGTGGTAAAGAGTTTAGTGACAACGGTACTTGTCTTAGACACATGAGAACACATACTGGTGATAGGCCACATAAGTGTGAAGTATGTGGTAAAGAGTTTGGTCTGAACCAGCAATTGCTCACTCACATGAGAATACATACTGGTGATAAACCTTATAAATGTGATGTATGTGGTAAAGCGTTTAGTGACAGCAGTGCATATCAAAGACACACAAGAACACATACTGGCTATAAACCTTATAAATGTGATGTATGTGGTAAAGCATTTAGTGACAGCAGTGGCTATCAAAGACACACAAGAACACATACTGGTGATAAACCTTATAAATGTGATGTATGTGGTAAAACGTTTAGTGACAACAGTACCTATCAAAGACACACAAGAACACATACTGGTGATAAACCTTATAAATGTGATGTATGTGGAAAATGGTTTAGTCAGAGTTCTAGTTTAAAGAAACACATGAAAACACATACTAGTGAAGACTCTAATATATGTGATCAAGGGTTGTGAAGTAGTGATAAATCTTTTGAATATGATGCATGTGCGTAAAGGTATTGTAAGAATCGAGACTTTCAGGAACACATCTAACAACTAACTTTTGAAATACCAAATAAATTTGTACTGTATTAAAACTACGGTTAACACAAGTTTTATTATTGAACCAATTTAGTAAAAGACGCAGGCATGACAGACGTAATTGTGCGGAAATAGTTTTAAAGTTCAGTTGTTATTGTATATCCATCTAGCAGGGTTTATCTTTTCTTGACCTTATTTTGATTGGTCAGAATTAACGTTTTATGGTAAGGTCTATTTCTCAGACAGTAGAAACTAAATGTAAATTATTTTGGTGTATGGAATGATTATAAAATGTACAATGTCTGGCAGGGTTCATCAGGTGTTGACCTCATTGACAATGATAATTGATAATGTAAAGCTTATGTGATATTTGTATTCATACCTCTTAAGGTGGTACCCAACACCTTGACTAATATTAATTTGGCTCGTTTAATTTTCATAAAATTTTGACAAAATGTTTACTTTGACCCTTTGACAAAAATATAAAAATTTCAAAAAATTTGAACCAACCACTTTATCAGAAAAAATTCTTTGGTTATATAGCAGTTTGACAAACACTAATTTTGATCACTGAGAAGCTTAATATTTCCTTAACAATACATCGTAATTAAAACGTTTAGCTGATTTTTACAGAGTTATCTCCCTGTAGTGTTAGGTACCACCTTAAGAACTTTAAAATGATTTCAATCATGGTCAGTAAAGCAGGCGAGACATTGCAGCTTTTATATTCACTCTTATAATGTTTTGTGTTTGTACATGTATACATGTATATTATTTGTGTTTGCAGTAAAAACAGTAAAATGAAATAAAAGTAAACTGATATCTTTGAGTAAAATATTTAAAAAGGAAACCATTCAAAGTTCTTTTATTTCTAAATTACTTACTCTTGAATTTAAATAACTTAAATTAAGAGTATAGAAGAGAGGAGAAAGATACAAAAAGGACATTCAAAATCAAAAGTCGAAAATAAACTGACAATGCCATAGCAGAAAAAAAGACTAAAAGACAAAAACAATACACACAACACAGCATAGAAAAGATAAGACTGAGCAACACAAACTCCACCAAAAACCAGGGAATCTCAGGTGCTCCGGAAGGGTAAGCAGATCCTGTTTCACATCTGGCACCAGTCGTGTTGCTAATGTAAGTACAAACCCGGTGATAAGTCTAATTAGGTAGGTCACATTCGGGGTAAAGAGGACGGGATTGTGGTTACGACAATAGGAACATATTCGTCGTCATCCTTTGCTGCATATCTATCAATTTGACTGATTTTAAGTTTTACTTTTCTGTTCTAGATGATGTGAAGACAGGTAATTGGCGTTTTCCAAAGATATAGATAAAAAGTTGAAAAATGGAGGTTGGTATTGTTCGGAATTTGTTCCTTCCTTTTATTTAAAATATATATCCTGTTTTCACGCTTCGCTTACATGGATCTGACCACACTCAGTTTTACTTTCTGGTGATCATCAACCAATGAAATGTCTATTTTCAAATTTTTGAAGGTGTTTATTATTACGTCAAACCCCGAGAATCCAAAAACCGAAAGTGAAATGAAGTGTTGTCTGTATTCTAATCAGATTGTTGTTCCTTTAAGGATGTTCGCTCCTCTTGTTTTAGAATTTTTGCAAGATATTCGGAATCCTCTGGTTTTATCATTTGTTTATCCATGTAGTGCCATTAAAATTATTTTCCCATTAACCCCCACTTTTCTTTCCAGAATTTGATGACATATAGTTAAAATGTTTTCTTTGAAAATCTTATAAAATCCTTGTTAGTTTTTCATTTTTTTTTTTTTGAAAGAAAAAGGTGCCAATGTTAAATGCATGAAAAATCTAGAGAGAATTATTTCCCGCCAAATTTTCAATGGCTTATATCTCGAAATCAAGCACACGAACCCTCCATTTTTTTCTGCTTTTTTAGTTTCTTTATTTATATACTATCAATTTATAACAGTCTTTTAAAAAGCTTGTTATTTTGAAACAGAGTAGCGAACATCCTTAATTAACATTATATAAGATATGCATTATTAAGTTTAGCGAAAATAATATCTATAAAATATATCATGTAAATGACAAACCTTGTTTTTTGACAACTTTCAATCAATAAAACCTTTGCGGAGAAAGTATTTTATTTCGGAACAAAATGCACAAACGTTTTGAATGACCTTGACATCATACCTTATTAATAAACTCAAATGTAAACATATTAAATAAACTGAAATCTATTTCAGAATCTATATCAATGAAACTGAAATATTTGCATAAATGTATATGATAATGTAAATGTAGTCAACTTTTTCATATACACATTAGGGGGCCTCGGTGGCCAAGTGGTCTAAGTAGTTCTACTACTGTAATCACTAGCCAGTCAACACTGAGGTTGTGAGTTCGAACCCCGCTCGTGCGGGTGCACTGGACTCCAATCTTAATTGACTAGGATTGTCAGTTTTCCTATCGAAGGTCGGTGGTTTCCTCCGGGCACTCCGGCTTCCTCCATCAATAAAAACTGGCCGCCACGAAATAGCCCAAAAGTGGCGCTTAAAAGAGGCGTTAAAACATCAATCAATCATATACACATAAGGAGATAAGGTATGATTGCCCATGTGTCAACTATGCATACATGACCATATTGATTTGTTGTAAGCAACTAGTCATGATTCCTTACTCATGATCATATTTAAAGATATATAACAGAGCAAAAAGCTGACAAGAAATTGAAAACGTTTTTTGTTATTACTGTTTTCTTGGATCGTTAGTTCCAATAAAATGGGTTCTTGCGATGAACATAAATCATATCAGTGATTTGGAACAGAATGTTCGAAATTTGGAATGACATAGACATTTTACCATAAAAAATTAAAAACAATCCAAATGTTTTAAAATTGAAATAGTTGAAAACTCCTTAGAATCTGTATCAATGAAACTGAGAAATAAAATGTCTAGAAACAAAAAATACAGCTGCTTTCATGATTGAATTCCTTGATCCCCATAAAAATCGGTAAATGCAGAACACATAAGATTGCATCCCGGAGGAAAGAATTGTATTAGTAAAGGTTGGAATAGTAATGCAAAGGTAAAATAACACACGAGAACATATGAGGGTGTGTATGGAGTTTAAAGACTTAAGAGTAATGGGCGAAGAACAGAGAATAATGGGATGCGAAAATATTTAGAAAAAGAGAATAATGGACAAAAAATATACAATTAGAGAAAAATGACTTAATAATTAAAAATTAAAGATCCTCATATATGCATGATAATGATGGGGAATAAAATAAAAAATTGTTGTAGTTGTTATGCAAATTGTAGTAAATAATTTGTGTTACAGATGCACATAAGAACACATGCTGGAGATAAACATTGTAGCTGTGAGGAATGTAGTAATATGTTTAGTCAGCTAGATAACTTACGGGAACAGACGAAATCACACACTGGTGAAAAGTTTTATGACTGTGATTTATGTGGCAAAGAGTTTCGTCAGAGATTGCACTTACGGATACACATGAGAACACACACTGGATATAAACCTTATAAATGTGGGATATGTGGTAAAGAGTGTAGTCAAACTAGTAACTTAAACCAACACATGAGAACACACACTCGAGTTAAACCCTATAAATGTGATGTATGTGGTAAAGGTTTCATTCACAGTGAAAAATTACAAACACACATTAGAACGCATACTGATAATAAACGTCATAAATGTGTTTTGTGCAGTAGAGGGTTTAGTCAGAAACAAGACTTAACGAGACATATGAGAACACATGAAGAGAAACCTTACACATGTGATGTGTGTGGTAGAGGGTTTACTCAGAGTCACCATTTCCAGACACACATGAGATTGCATACGGGTGATACACTTCATAATTGTGTTGTATGTGGTAAAAGTTTCAGTAGGAAATATAATATGAGTGCACACATGACAACACACACTGGTGATAAACCTCATAAATGTGAGGTATGTGGAAAAGGATTTAGTCAGAATCAAAGCTTAAAGAGACATATGAAAACGCATACTGGGGATTAACTTCATACTGGTCATTCTGTGAATTTAATTCATTAATGTGTGGTTTGCGGTAAATGTTTAAGTATGAGTTATACAATGCTGACACACACAAGAATGAAAGCTCGTAAATGTGAATTATGTGGAAAAGAATTAGTTCGAATCTAAGCTTAACGAAACATATTTGAACACATACTGGCGATATATGTGGTGAAGAATTTAGACAAAGAACAAAGCTTACAAACACAAATGAGAGCACTGACCATCAAGTACAAAATCCTATAAAAACAAGAGTTATTCTCACTTGTCTCTGTTGATTTGATGTAAGCTGTTATTAAACATCATATATATCAGTTTATATGACAAATCATCTCACCTAAAATAAAACATCTATTGGTGTTATCCCACTAACTTTTAATAGACTCATTTCTGATTTTGCTATCTCGTTGTTTCACATCTTTTGGATCTTTAGTTTTGCAGTTTCACATTATAGCTTGTATGTTTATGAAGATTTATCAATGTTCTAACAACGACTTGAACACTGGTTTTTGTGCTTGTTCTACCGACAAATTTTAATGAAGGATCAATAAATAACCCCATACATGTCATAGGTAAAGTAGTTTCAAAATTTAATGGCCTCCGAAAGGAAAAAAGTAAAACAAACATATCGAACTCCAAGCTTTAAGGTAAATCCAAAAAGGGGAAGTCCAAAAACAAACGTTATCAACCAACGCAACGAGTGGAAAACAACTGTCATATTCCTGACTTTGTACAGGCAATTTCCGAAGAAAATGATGGGTTAAACCTGGTTTTATAGCTAGGTATACCTCCCACTTGTATGACAATTGCTTTTAGTTTCGTTATATTGACAAAATTGGGTGAGGAACTCAAATAGACATAATAGGTTAATGTGACAATAATTGGAATCCAGCAGCCAAAGCTATGTAAACATACATCACAGACCTTCAAAGAAAGATCATCTGCATCCAGATAAGAACAAAAGCCTGGACTCAAATCTGAAATAAATGTTACTGTTCGACGCCATTATTCCGACAACCCATTAGTCCGACAACCCAATATTCCGACAGCCAAATAATCCGACACTTAGAAATAATCATTGCGCAGTATAAGGGTAAAAAAAAATATGTCTGTCTATATTATAACGTACATGTTATTACATATGTATAGAAAAAATTCCATATATATTATATAGGTAGTTCGAATACTTTTATACACTTAATTAGAAATCTTTGTATACGTAACTAAAATTTGTGAATAGAGGTATATTATTCAACTACGCGCCTTTTCGTATATACAGAAATCGTTTAATGTATTAACAGAAGTCAAAAAACGGATATATAGAACTATTTCCGTATGGTTAGACTTCGAATTCCATGTTTGTTATGGTCCGAGATGCCCCTAGCTCGAAATAACCCGCACCTAGAATATCTTATATCTCTACCAAGGCATCGACCATTCGTAGTTTTTTTTTCTAGAGTCCGTTATTCACTATTTTGGGGGGTTTCATTTATGAATCAATTTTTTTTCTCAAAATCACACATTTAAGAAAAAAACATGTCCCCTTCACAAAAGATAAATGGTCGGTGCCTTAAAGTATGTACGAATTTCGGACGATTATAATGATTTAAGCTTATTGGGTGATCTCGGTTAAGATGCTGTACAACGTAACATTGACTGGTTTTTTTTAGAAATCACATGTAGTCCACCAAAGAACATTTCTAAGATTTCCATTAATTGGTCATTGCCATTAAATTTGCATAATTTGGGGATCACTACATACAATTTATTTGAGGAAACAAAATGGGGCTCTGGATCTAGATCTAGATCTACAGCCCTAAAATTTCCAGAGGAAGTAAAAACTACATGTGAGTCATGAATATTGTTTGAAACGTTCACAAAGAAGGGCCTATAAAAAACTACAGAACTCATCAAACTCTTATGTTTTACTTGTGTTTGTATTGTTATTTTCCATCCACATCTTTGGCTTAAATATCTTGTTATTTTACACTCACTTCATCAGGACCCTCGCCCACAAGGGACTATTTGCTATCCCTGCTGTACATGCAATTTTTCGCGTGTATCTTGTTGTCCTTCGACAACTCCATAAGCTTCTCGGGTTTTGTTTTAATCATTTATATTTGTGTTTGAAATGGAACTAGAATCATTGAAAACGGAGTAAATCTTAATCGTTCTTACTCCGTCCTGCCCGCCCTAACTGCATTGTAAAAGTGGCATGTTTTTTTCTAGACTTTAAAATAAGCTCGGGATTTAAATTCGGTACCCCTATATTGAGTGTCATCTCTGTGTCTGATGGTATCGGGTCCGTTCGCCCTA